CCTTCAAGTATACCTAATCATATACTTCAAACTCTAGGTCTCTTCTCTTAACATCAGTGTAGGATTTCTGATGACTCTGCGTTGTTTTCAACCTCTCTTGAATAACCTTCACTTTCTCCATAGCTTCATGAACCAAATCTGGTCCTATTAACCCAGCTTCACCAACCTCAAACCATCCAATAGGAGATCTGCATCTTCTCCCATAAAGTGCCTCATACAGAGTCATTTGAATGCTAGAATGGTAATTATTGTTATAAGAAAACTTAATGAGAGGTAGGAGATCATCCCAATTACCTTTGAAATCAATCACACAACTCTCAACATATCTTCTAGAGTCTGAATAGTGTTCTCTGCTTGACCATCTGTTTGAAGATGAAAAGCAATACTCAAGTTCACCTTTGAACTAAACCCTTTCTGGAATGACTTCCGCAATTGTGTAGTAAATTGTGCACCTCTGTCTGAAATAATAGACACCGGAGCCCTATAAAGTCTGACTACCTCTTGGATATATAACTTAGCATAATCTTCTGCTGAATGGGTAGTCTTTATTGGCAAGAAATAGGTTGATTTAGTCATTCGGTCTACAATCACTCAAATGGAATCGTGTTGCCTGTGAGACCGTGGAAAACTTGTAATAAAGTCTATATTAATCATCTCCCACTTCCATTCCAGAATCTCTATATTCTGAGCCATACCATCGGGCCTCTAATGCTTTACTTTAACTTGTTGGCAATTTGGACACTTAGCAACAAATTCTGCAATGCCCTTCTTCATACTACTCCACCAATAAACCTCTCTCAAATCACGATACATCTTTGTGGAACCCAGATGGATGGAATATCTAGAGCTATGAGCTTCCTCCATAATCCTCTCTTGGAGTTCATCCACCTTTGATACACACAACCTACCTTGATACCTCAATATACCATCTCCCACTTGTTTAAAATCCATCACTTTTTGCTTATGAACATTTGCCTTTAACTCAAGAAAAATAGGGTTTTGATCTTGCTTCTCTTTCACTTCAGACACAAATGATGATTCAGCCCCATTTATGACCACTACTCCTCCTTCTGTGGAATCCATTAGTCAGACTCCTAATTGCACAAGTCTGTGCACATCTTTCGCTAACTCTCCCTTTTCTTCCTCAATATGGGCGGTACTGCCCATAGATAACCTGCTTAAAGCATCAGCAACCACATTAGCCTTACATGGGTGATATAGAACACTCATGTTATAATCCTTGAGTAACTCTAACCACTTTCTCTGTCTGAGATTAAGCTCTTTCTAACTAAACACATACTGAAGACTCTTGTGATCGGTGAACACATCCACATGAATACCATAAAGATAGTGATGCCATATTTTCAAAGAAAATACTACGACAACCAACTCTAGATCATGGGTTGGGTAATTCTTCTCGTGAACTTTCAGCTGTCTGGAGGCATAAGCTATAACTTTACCATTTTGCATTAACACATAAGCCAACCCAACTCTGGACGCATCACAATACACAACAAAACCTTGCATACCCTTTGTTAATGTCAATACTAGGGCAGTAGTCAACCTAGTTTTCAATTCCTAGAAGTTTTTCTCATAAGCCTCAAACCATTGAAACTTCACTATTTTTTCTGAGTCAACTCAGTCAAAGGGGATGAAATAGATGAGAACCTTTCTATGAGCCTTCTATAATATCCATCCAACCCCAAGGAACTCCTAATATCAGTTGGAGATGTGGGCCTAGGCCAATTCTGCACTGCCTCTATTTTTTTAGTATCAACCTGAATTCCATCACCGAAAACAATGTGACCTAACAATGCCACAAACTCAAGCCAAAACTCACACTTAGATAACTTAGCATATAACTCCTTATCATTTAGAGTTTGGGGAACTATTCTGAGATGACTATCATGATCTTTCTTGCTCCTCGAAACGATTAGAATGTCATCAATGAATATGATAACAAACATATCTAAATAAGGCTTGAATACCCTATTCATAAGGTCCATGAATGCTATAGGAGCATTGGTCTAACCAAAAGACATAACTAGGAACTCATAATGACCATAACGGGTCCTGAAAGCTGTCTTTGGAATATCACATTCCCTTACTCTCAACTGATGGTAGCCTGATATGAGGTCTATCTTGGAAAAACAAGTGGCACCTTGAAGTTGATCGAAAAGATCATCAATTCTCGAAAGAGGAAACTTATTCTTGATGGTAACCTTGTTCAACTGACGGTAATCTATAAACATTGTAGACACGTAATTTTTGACCGAATTTAAGGTATTACACCATTTTTAGTACATAAATATTGCTTTTATATATAAATTAAATATTTTATTTTTTTTCATCGTATTTTAGTAAGTTTATTTTAAAAGATTGAAAAACTACAAAAAATATATGTTTTCTTTTTATTTTAATAAATAAGCTAGTATTTCTTAACTAGCTATTTGACTTTTCTAATATTTTATTAGTTCAAAATAATTAATTAGTATTTTTATTATTATTATATATATATTTAATCTAAAAAAAAAAAAAACCTACACTACCCCACTACCCCAACTCACCTACACATTTACCCACTACTCCTCCCACTCAACCCCACTACCCCACAACACCCCTATACACACACGACACTACACACACCCACACTCCAATATATAGACACAACACAACAACACAAAGAAAAAGAAAAAAAAAAAGACGGACAGAGACAGAAAAACGGAAGGAAAAGAAAAAAAAACATTTTTCATCCCAAAAACAAAAACACACGAGCAAACAAAAAAAAAAAGACCTTCACATCTCTTTTATTTTCTTTTAAAAATACATCAATTCATCCAGATCTTTGTTTTCTTTCTCATTTCTTTCATATAAATACAACACATATACCACTACATACAATCTATAAAAAGGTTCGTGGGTATTCTAATCGAGGTTCAATCAAAATTTTGCGGTACTTATTCTCTTTATTTAAGGTTCAACTTTGCCTTATTTATTTAATTTATTCATGGAATTTGATGTAATTTTATGACAAATTTTATTATATTTTGTTTCATTCATGAATTTGATAGAAATGATTCATTTGTTAGTTGTTATATCTCTATTTCATGAATGAAAGTAGCTTTAATTGATGATTTTTATTTATTTATTTATTTTTATTTGTTAGTTGTGATCTCTTAAAAATGAACATGTCATAACATTGTTCTTGTCTTGATTTAGATAATAATGATAAAGTAGGTATAGTTAGGCTAAAAAAATAAATATAAATAAATTATTGTTGTTTTATTTTATCAAACAAAAGATGAAATTTATTTTTTGCAATTCGATATTGTTTTCTTTGATTAGAAAGTGTACACTTAATTTTGACATCAACTTTAAGAAATTGCAAAAAAAAAAAAAAAAAAAAAACATATGTAAAATACCTTTCCCTCGGTCAACAGAATTCCTTACCCTAATTTCTAGTTCGTAGACCAAAACTAAAAGAGTCATTTCCTATTGATTAGGGATTCGAAAAGGTGACTTGGAACACCATAACTCAATTCCAAGTGGCGACTCTGAAACAATAAAATATAATCCCTTAATCAATAACGTCACTTAAATTGGAAAAACCCTTCCGCCGCCTTGCGCGAAAAAGGGGTGTGACATCTCTGGCGACTCCGCTGGGGACTAATCAGAATTTGAGCTTTGTATATTTGACTTTTACTTTATTTTATTATATTATTTCATTGGATATATTATTTTGATGACCTAATGTGCTATTTGCTGCTCATTTATCGCTTTGATATTGTTGAATTGTATATAATCTGTCTTATCGTACACCATCTGAGTCTCTAAAAATAGGGTAGTAGGGAATGCAGTTATGCATCCCAATTTCTTTTGAGATAAAGCTGGAGTGTCTGAGCACTCAATGAAGGATTTTAGTCACACATGTTAGGCAAAGTTGGACCAGCAATGAAGTCGGAATAGCGCTGCTACCGATAAGTTGCCCCTCCTTGGCTCGAGTTGTCTATTCGGGTAAGCCAGTCTAGATACCTATCTTATTCCGGTTTGAACCTAGTAAAACTAGAACATAGACACGGTTATCCCTAGAAGACTCCGATTCATGTGACTTAGTGAGCCTCAAAACAAGAGTTGGATCCATCCAGGACAAGTATCCCTCTCTTACTTGACCACTTAGCTCATTTTATGTGCTACATGAAAATGCATTTATTTGAAAGTTTCTATAAATTGACTCATTTTAGTATGACTAATACAATGAAATTTTTTTAATCTTTTGATCTTATTTTTTTTAAAAAAAAAAAGAGAACACACGAAAATATTTCTTCTTTTAGAAGTAATAATACATTTCTTAAAATAAAATAAAAAATTTGCATTACTTAATGAAAAGAATAATAATATTTTTATATAGATTTTTTTCATACAGTTTGTAAAATAAAAAAAATTCAAAATATTTTACTTTCATAATACTTTGAAAAATTATATTTGTCAAAATAAAAAATAAAAATTTAATATCTTAAAGTTTTTTTACTGTCCAATCTGGACGAACTACGCACACCTGATTCTCACCTCAATGAGATACGTAGGCAACCCTCTTTGGGTTCGGTAATCTTTATTCAAAAATAAAAAATAAAAAATCGTTTTTCAAAAGTTAAAAAAAAAAAGAAAACAAGAAGCTTTAATCTTTATCAAAAATAAGTTTTTATTAATTTTCTTTTAATAATTCAAATAAAATAAAATAAAAAACTAAAAGATTTTATCTCAAAGCTCTAAAAAAGAAAAGCTTAGTTATTGAGTTTTTGAAAAATATGATCTTTGCAAGCGTGTTACGTATGCAATCTCAAACGGATTTGATCAATGCATTATTTTAAAAAAAAATTATAACTGAAGAAGGTTTAACCCTAACAAGCATTATTATCTATGCACAGTTAAATTAAGGTGGTTGATTTGTGGTTAAGCTGACATCCCATCCCTATAATACAAGGTCAAAAGGGAAAAACAAAATGACTCACAAAGACGGAAATGAGTCGGACAATGATGAGGTCCAGAACCAGATGATGTCACAAGAAACTGTGTCAGCCGAAGAGATAAGGATACTAAGACAACAAATGATAGAGATGTACGAAGCTTGGATGAGTGGACAAGCTCCACCGCCTTCAATCCGTGACTATCTAAATACAAATATGTCACCTCTTGTCCAAGTATCGATAAGTGATCTAATTTATCCACCTGGATTCGGTCCCGCATCCAATGTAGCTGGAACTTCTACGGTGCGCCCTTTGAATACGCCTATGACAAGTAATCCACTATTCATTCCAACCGCGCCGACTAATGTCCTTCAACAACCTATAGTGGAGCCAAAATCCATCAATGATCCTCTACCCAAAGTTCAATATGATCGAGATTATACTCCTGAATTGACTTTTAAAATTCCAGGCTCTTACCTTCACACTCATCAGTATAGTTCCCCTGTTGAAGCTGAAAAAACTGTTGAGAACGAGGAACATGAAGAAATGGCTAGAAAAATGAAGAGTTTGGAACAGAGTGTGAGAGATATGCAAGGATTGGGAGGTCACAAAAGTGTCTCGTTCAATGATTTGTGCATGTTTCCCCATGTTCATCTGCCCATCGATTTTAAAACTCCAAAGTTCGAGAAATATGATGGACATGGAGATCCTGTAGCTCATTTAAAGAGATATTGTAATCAATTGAGAGGGGCTGGAAGCAAAGAAGAATTGCTCATGGCTTATTTTGGGGAAAGTTTGATGGGAATTGCCTCAGAATGGTTCATAGACCAAGATACTTCTAACTGGCATACATGGGATAATTTGGCTCGATGTTTTGTTCAACAATTTCAATATAACATTGACATAGTTCCAGATCGTACTTCACTTGTCAACATGAGAAAAAATACTACCGAAAATTTTCGTGAATATGCTATTAGGTGGAGGGAGCAAGCTGCTAGGGTTAAACCACCAATGAAAGAGTCTGAAATGATTGATGTTTTTCTCCAAGCGCAGGAACCAGATTACTTTCATTATTTACTTTCCGTTGTTGGAAAAACATTTGCTGAAGTTATTAAGATTGGTGAAATGGTGGAAAATGGCATCAAGTCTGGAAAAATTGTAAGTCAAGCTGCCTTGAAAGCTACAACACAAGTGATTAAAAATGGATCAGGAAATTTTGGGGGAAAGAAAATGAAGGAAGATGTAGCAAATGTTGTGTCAGGCACACAAAAAGGTCCAAGGGGTCCACCTTATCAATCTGCACCACCTCAATACCATCATTATCTCCCTATGCAAGACACACAATATTCTGTTGTTCCACCTCAATATGCGGTTTACAATGCACAACAATATGCATACCCACCAAATTATCCTCAATGGCGAGCGTCAACATATCAAAATGTTCACCCTTCTTCTCGAAATTTTCGAGCACCTTATAATCTTTGTCCGAGACAGGGATTTGGAGGAGGTCAAAGGCCTAGAAACAATTTCACACCAATTGAAGAGTCTTACACAAGTTTATTTAACAAGTTGAAACATTTGAAGATAATAGAGCTGATTCCTCAAAATTATATGGATCCACATGCAAAGAGTTTCAATCCTATAGCACGATGTGCATACCATTCTGATGCTCCAGGGCATAGTATTGAAGATTGTCGTAATTTTAAAAAAAAGGTGGAAGAGATGATTCAAACAAAGATGATTGTGGTTCAAAATGATGACCCCCAAATGTTACTATGAATCCTCTACCGGCGCATAGTGATGTACACTTTATCGAGATGATATGTGATGACAAAGAATATGACAATTCTGAAGAAAAGACAATTGGAATTGGTAGAGCTTTTACGAAGGCTAACTTGCAAAACAGTGGCTAAGAAGTTCAGCTTGGTGATTGAGAGACACTCTTCTTTTCTCTAAAAAGAGTGTATAAATAGTTTATTTTGTCATCATTTCTGCTATGCAATCATTTTTATTTTTAGTAAGTCAAATCTTTCTATCATTTCTCTTATGCGTTTGTTTGTTGAGTTTTGACGTAGTTTGAGTTATTATAGAGTTGTGACCTAAATTTAGTTTGTTGTCTTGTCACCAAGTTTTTTTTAGATCTTTAATATAATCTTTATTCTGTGTCACTTTGATCCGTTCTATCTGGCATTCCACATATACATCTCTTTTCAGTTCAATTTTGTGACATGATATGCAAAAGGATTTGGTCAGATCTTAAGATTATATCTAATCATGAAATGAATACATAAAAAAAAAAAAAAAATTTTTTTGAGGAAATGAATAAAGGACTTAGACACCTTGATACTTCCTTTAGTATCAGAAAAAAAAAAAAATCATCTAACTTGACATGTCATTTGTTGTCAAGAAGGTATTACTCAAATGGAGATTCTCAGCTGACAAACATGCAACAAAATGATATACATATTCATCAATACATATGTTGCAAAGAAATATTGTATGAATTTCACTTCACATCTTAAAGGGAATTGCTTGTATTTGACATTTTTAATAATTGATATGACGAAGGCATTTCATTCAACTATCCAAACACCGTGTAATTCTTTGCTATCCCTTTTGAGCCTTAATTTTATTTTTCTTTCATACCCCTCTTTTGGAATAAAAAAAAAAAGTCAAGAAAAGAGAAAAGTGAAAAAGAGAAAGAAAAAAAAAAAGAGAAAAAAAAAGTTGAAGTGAAAAATAAAAATAAAAATCCAATAACAACAAAAAACAAACTTCCTGAACTACGTTCGACCTGATTCTTGCTTTGACAAGATACGTAGGCAACCTTATTTTGAGGTTCGGTCCAAACAAAAAAATATCTAGAAAGTCCTCATCACAAAAATTGGGGCAAAAAAAAAATAAAAAAATAATAATAATATTAATTATTATTATTATTATTATTATTTTATTGTATTTTTGTAAAAAGAGTCGATTTCAAAAGTTGTAAGTCTTAACCCTGTTACGCAGTATCTTTGAGCTTTCATGCCAATCCTTTCATTTTAACCCTGTCCAAAAGCCACGTTATAATCCAAATAAAGACCTTCTGATCAATTTTTAACAATGACAAGTCAAGCAAACTTTCAGTGTTGATTATATAAGAAAAAATGTTATGCCACTCGCATAAGGAGTGAAAAATGAGGGAATCTTATCGATGAAAATCCTCAAAATCCCTATAGGAGATCATTTGAGTCGAGAGAAAGTAAAAAATGAGAGAGTCTTATTAGTGAAAACCCTCAGGGCATGGTAAGACGATAATGAGTGAGAGATAAGAAAAAAAGACTTGTTAGTGAAAACCTTTCGAGGCACCACTAGTCAATTAGTAGTCATAAATCTAGTGTAAAAGTTGGATTATAGAAGTCTGACTTCAAAGTTGAAAGTTTGACAAAGATAAAGTTTTGGATTGATTGGACAGACCAGACCATTTAATCCAAAAAGCATGTCATGATCATTATAATTGACCACCACTATCAATGGAATCCATTTATTTTTATTTATTTATTTTTTATTTTTTATTTTTTCTTCTTAAAAGGATCAAATATTATTTCTTCTTATTTTGCGTCTCGCTCAATTCAATCTTGAGATAGTCTTCATTAAGCAGGCAGAAAATGATTTCAAAATTGCTACCATCTCTTCAATCGTACAAAACAAAGCTTGATTAGCTCATCAATCGTGACATAGTTCAAGAAATAGTGATATGCATAGTAACTTGTCAGCAATTGACAATTTTTGAATACAAGGTTCAATTATTGTTGGAGGGTGGAAACAGTATAACAAATTTGAAGTTGAAAGTTCTGAACAACTAGAGATGTTTTCAAGATTATCAAGGTGAGTTGACTAGCAAACGAAAGCAGTCAATTTCAAGCTAAAATTAGCTTCAAACATGGCAACAACAGGAGCAAGTATCCTCAAAGCCGATGCCACAATTCGACCACCATTAAAAAAAAAAAAAAAAAAAAAAAGCATAAACTTTCTTTTGTTTCTTTTCTAAAACAGGGAAATATTCCTTACGTAAAAGATATCTTGAAGACCCAAATTTGTTGCAAAAAAATAAAAAATAAAAAAATTATTGCATTGTTTCTCCTATGATAAACGTTTTCTAGTCTGAGACAATTATTTTTATTTTATTTTATTTATTTTTATTTCTTTACTAGGATAAACATTTCCTAATATAAGACATTTAAAAACTAAAAAAAAAAAAAAGGGGATAAAATATTGTGGTGATTTTATTTGATGATTCTGTTAATTGAGATCTTCCTAAAGTACTGAGATTTAGTTTAGCAGGACCCTCCTACATAATGAGATTTAGATTAGCAGGACCCTCCTACATAATGAGATTAGCAGGACCCTCCTACATAATGAGATTTAGATTAGCAGGACCCTCCTACATAATGGGATTAGCAGGACCCTCCTACATAATGAGATTTAGATTAGCAGAACCCTCCTACATAATAGGATTAACAGGACCCTCATACATAATGAGATTTAGATTAGCAGGACCCTCCTACATAATGGGATTAACAGGACCCTCCTACATAATGAGATTTAGATTAGCAGGACCCTCATATATAATGGGATTAGCAGGACCCTCCTACATAATGGAATTAGCAGGATCCTCCTACATAATGAGATTTAGATTAGCAGGACCCTCCTACATAATGGGATTAACAGGACCCTCCTACATAATGGGATTTAGATTAGCAGGACCCTCCTACATAATGAGATTTAGATTAGCAGGACCCTCCTACATAATGGGATTAACAGGACCCTCCTACATAATAAGATTTAGATTAGCAGGACCCTCCTACATAATGGGATTAGCAGGACCCTTCTACATAATGGGATTAGCTGGACCCTCCTACATAATGAGATTTAGATTAGCAGGACCCTCCTACATAATGGGATTAACAGGACCCTCTTACATAATGGGATTAGCAGGACCCTCCTATATAATGGGATTTAGATTAGCAGGACCCTCCTACATAATGGGATTAGCAGGACCCTCCTACATAATGAGATTTAGATTAGCAGAACCCTCCTACATAATAGGATTAACAAGACCCTCCTACATAATGAGATTTAGATTAGCAGGACCCTCCTACATAATGAAATTTAGATTAGCAGGACCCTCCTACATAATGGAATTAACAGGACCCTCCTACATAATGGGATTAACAGGACTCTCCTACATAATGAGATTTAGATTAGCAAGACCCTCCTACATAATGAGATTTAGATTAGTAGGACCCTTCTACATAATGGGATTAGCAGGACCCTCCTACATAATGAGATTTAGATTAGCAGGACCCTCCTACATAATGGGATTAACAGTACCCTCCTACATAATGGGATTAGCAGGACCCTCATATATAATGAGATTTAGATTAGCAGGACCCTCCTACATAATGAGATTAACAGGACCCTCCTACATAATGGGATTTAGATTAGCACGACCCTCTTACATAATGAGATTTAGATTAGCCGGACCCTCCTACATAATGGGATTAGCAGGACCCTCCTACATAATGGGATTTAGATTAGCAAGACCCTTCTACATAATGGGATTAGCAGGACCCTCTTACATAGTAGGATTTAGTTATTTTCTCCTAGGTAAACACTTCTTACTCTGAGACATTATTTTTCTTTATTTTTTCTCCTAGGATAAACGCTTCCTAGTCTGAGTTTATTTTTGAAAATTTACATTTGCTAATAACTCACAAAATTTTTCTAGTGAAAACTGGGGCAAAATTTTTGTTTATTTCTTTTGTTTGTGATGGTTTTCAGGGTTCTTCAAGCGAAACATGGATTGGAAATTCAAGAATAAAGTTTCAACTCTTTTTCAGAATGATTAATTTCATGATAGTCAGAATCAGCTTCTTCAATGCATATAACAACCTGACTTCCTGACGTCTATTTCTATTCAGCTTCTGATCAAGAAAACATGCAGTCATTCAAGAACATATTCAAATTGCCATTTTGAAGAGTGCCAAAAGCTCACTCTAAGCGGCAAGTTAAGCCTCAATCCAATTCAAGATCAAGATACTCACCCAAAAAAATCAAGGTGATATCTGAAAGTAAAGACACAAGTGAAGACTCAAGAGAAGCTGTATAGATATGAGCTTGTACTTTTATTTTTCTATTGACTATTAGCTTTCATTATTTTTATGTAAGGATAGGAACCGCAACTTGGACCCTCGATAAAACCTCACTTAACTTCAAACTCATCACCTCATCTCTTTGAACTACATGTGACCTGATTCCCCTATAACCCGGGATATGTAGGATGTTCAAAACTAGGACTCGGTCGCATATTTTTCTTTTCGAATAAGATTCCGTTCAAAATTTGTCACGTTGTCTACTTCTTTGTCTGAAAACTCTTCGTGTTTCCAGTCAAAGAGGGGCAAACTGTAGACACGTAATTTTTGACCGAATTTAAGGTATTACACCATTTTTAGTACATAAATATTGCTTTTATATATAAATTAAATATTTTATTTTTTTTCATCGTATTTTAGTAAGTTTATTTTAAAAGATTGAAAAACTACAAAAAATATATGTTTTCTTTTTATTTTAATAAATAAGCTAGTATTTCTTAATTATATTTCTTAACTAGCTATTTGACTTTTCTAATATTTTATTAGTTCAAAATAATTATTTAGTATTTTTATTATCATTATATATATATTTAATCTAAAAAAAAAATAACCTACACTACCCCACTACCCCAACTCACCTACACATTTACCCACTACTCCTCCCACTCAACCCCACTACCCCATAACACCCCTATACACACACGACACTACACACACCCACACTCCAATATATAGACACAACACAACAACACAAAGAAAAAGAAAAAAAAAGAGACGGATAGAGACAGAAAAACGGAAGGAATAGAAAAAAAAACATTTTTCATCCCAAAAACAAAAACACACGAGCAAACAAAAAAAAAGACCTTCACATCTCTTTTATTTTCTTTTAAAAATACATCAATTCATCCAGATCTTTGTTTTCTTTCTCATTTCTTTCATATAAATACAACACATATACCACTACATACAATCTATAAAAAGGTTCGTGGGTATTCTAATCGAGGTTCAATCAAGATTTTGCGGTACTTATTCTCTTTATTTAAGGTTCAACTTTGCCTTATTTATTTAATTTATTCATGGAATTTGATGTAATTTTATGACAAATTTTATTATATTTTGTTTCATTCATGAATTTGATAGAAATGATTCATTTGTTAGTTGTTATATCTCTATTTCATGAATGAAGGTAGCTTTAATTGATGATTTTTATTTATTTATTTATTTTTATTTGTTAGTTGTGATCTCTTAAAAATGAACATGCCATAACATTGTTCTTGTCTTGATTTAGATAATAATGATAAAGTAGGTATAGTTAGGCTAAAAAAATAAATATAAATAAATTATTGTTGTTTTATTTTATCAAACAAAAAATGAAATTTATTTTTTGCAATTCGATATTGTTTTCTTTGATTAGAAAGTGTACACTTAATTTTGACATCAACTTTAAGAAATTGCAAAAAAAAAAAAAAAAAAAAAACATATGTAAAGTAATCAAAAAAAATTATTCTAGAAGTTTAGTATTTTACTTTATTTGTTTTTTTTAGGAATACATGTTTTCTTTTAATGTTAGATCAAACACTTAAATAAATTAAAAAATATTTGTTCCAATTAAGAATGTGGTTACACATCTTTTTTTTGAGATATTAAAATAAACTCAATGATGCGGTGACGCACCTTGTCCACTAATATAATTAGTTTTATTAATTTAAGGTAGTGACTTATAAAAATAAGGTTATTAAGTGTGATGCAAAGAAGACAGTTATGTCTCTAAAATGTCAAGATCGAGAATGCAGTTATGCATCCGGTTTAAGACTAATAAAATTCAACAATTAAAAAAAAAAAGTGAACCAGGGCCGTAGACACAAATTATCCAAAAACATATTAAAATAAGTATGAGTCAATAAAAGCGACCGTGCTAGAACCACGGGACTCGAGGGATGCCTAATACCTTCCCATCGGTCAACAGAATTCCTTACCCTAATTTCCAGTTCGTAGAACAAAACTAAAAGAGTCATTTCCTATTGATTAGGGATTCGAAAAGGTGACTTGGAACACCATAACTCAATTCCAAGTGGCGACTCTGAAACAATAAAATATAATCCCTTAATCAATAACGTCACTTAAATTGGAAAACCCTTCCGCCGCCTTGCGCGAAAAAGGTGTGTGACACACATCCTAAGAGAAACGCCTTTCTTTCTCATAAATAAGACCGGAGCGCCCCAAGGTGAGACACTTGGTCGAATAAAACCTTTATCTACGTGATTTTTCAACTGCTCTTTCAACTCTTTCAACTCTGCTGGGGCTATTCTATATGGAAGAATAGAGATAGTATGAGTATCAGGAAGAATATCTATACCGAATTCTATTTCTCTCTCAGGAGGGACTCTGGGTTGATCATCTGGAAAGACTTCTGGAAACTCACTCACAACTGGAACTGACTGAATATGGGGTGTCTCAATATTTGAATCATTAACTCGGACTAAGTGATAGACAGAACCCTTAGAAACTAACTTCCTCGCCTTAAGGTATGAAATGAAATGACCCTTATGCACTGCTGAACTGCTACTCCACTCTATAACTGGCTCATTAGGAAACTGGAACTTAACAACTCGAGTTCTACAATCAATTGAGGCATAACAGGCATAAAGCCAGTCCATACCTACAATGACATCAAAATCTACCATGTCTAACTCAACTAAATCAGCCATGATGCTTTTTGTGATTGAAGGAAATGGTACAATCATGATAGACTCTCTTAACTAGAATAGACTCACCAACAGGTGTAGAAACACTGAAGGGCTTAGGAAGTTTCTCGGGAAGAATATTGAAATTCATGGCAATATAAAAAGTCACAAGAGATAGACTCGCTCCTGGGGTCTAGCAAATCATAAACATCAAAAGTGAAGACTTTGATCATACCAGTAACAACATCTGGAGAATTCTCTTGCTCTTGGCGAGTAGTGATAGCATACAGACAATTTGCCCCTCCACCGGTCCTTGATGTAGCTCGTCTAGGTGCAGCTCTGTCTGGAAAGGCAACTGAAGAAGATTGAGCTATATTGCCCTGATTCCCATTACCTTGCCTATTCTTAGGGCACTCTTTTATGAAGTGACCTTCTTGACCACACTTGAAACAACTAGTGAAGCCATCACGACACTTACCTGGGTGGTTCCAACCACACTTAACACAAACAAGATCCCAGTTACCTCCTTGTGCCACACTACCTTGAGACTGTGCAGGTCTAGCTCTGAAGTGCTGTGAATTCTGAATATTGTACTCATTTTTGTTCCTTGGTGCAGGTGCACTAGCAGATGATGGAGCAAGTCCCTTTTGGTTTTGTTGGAAGGATGTCCGATTGGCATTATTCTTCTGCTGCCCGGACTCATTCCCAGATGTCTTTGCCTTTTTGTTTCTGAACTATTCCCTATCCCTTAGCTTATCTCCTCAACCTGCTGCACATGAATCATCAGCCTCAGTATGTCCATATCACCTATTAGCATTGCAACCTTACCTTATTTACTCGACAGATGATACAATCCAGCAACAAACAAACTCATCCTACTCCTCATATCCGCAACCATTTCTGGGGTATAACGGGAAAGTTGGGTGAACTTCAGACTGTACTCATGAACACTCATTGATTCCTGCTTAAGAGTAAGGAATTATCGTACTTTTGCTTCTCTAAGTTCCCGGGGAAATAAACACCCTAAGAAGGCACTCTCAAACACATCCCAGCTTAAAATTGGTGCACCCTCAGCTCTACCTTTGTTCCATTGGTCAAACCAAATTCTAGCGACACTCTTCAGTTGATATGCAGCTAGTTCTACCCGCTCAGCATCAGGAATACGCATAACCTCAAACACTTTCTGAAGTTCCTCTACAAAGTTTTCCAGATCCTCAGTGATGCTTGAACCAGTGAAGCTTGAAGGATTCATCCTTAAAAATTCACGGATACTAGAAGTATCAGCCACTTCCTGTCGATTCTTTCTCTATCCAACTTGATTGGTCATAACTTGACTCAACATCCGGATAGCTTCCCAGAACTCAGCATTGGTGACCTCTCCTTGGGGTTGCACTTTAGGTGCATTAGGTACCCCATGCTCCTCAATATTTCTCATAGCAGGATGACCTCTGACAACTCTTCGTAGAGGCACGATCTGAAAGACACGCGCAAGCACGATTTAGCAAGAAATTTTATAGAGATTAACTCTATCGCACGAAGTGAATATAAAAGAAGTAAGATAGTTCCTAAATTTTACAGCCTCCTAATTATAAATGTGGCGCGCTTCATACCGATAACTAGGACTCTACAGACACAGCTTCATAGACTCCTTAGGACTCTTGAAACATGGCTCTGATACCAAGTTTGTCACAACCTGAGCCTACACCCTGGGCGGGAGTGGCACTCAAGAACTATTGTTAGCCTCAAGAAAATCCTTGGCCTGGCTAGACTCTCAGTGGAATACTTACTCAATAGAAAAAGTACTTAAATGAACTGTCTCAATAGATAAATTGAGAATGTTTTAGAAAATAACATTTAACTTTGCCAAAATGGCAACTCAAGTCTTTAAAATCAACTAACTGAAATATCAATACTAAAGAACTCATATCTAACTGTCTATGAAACCTCTAGATACTAAGAGAGATGTCGGGACAAGACCCCCAATCATCTTAACAACTGAAATAGCCAAAAGCAATAAAACAAAACATAACCAAAGGGATCCTCCGAAAATGAAGGAGGCTCACCAACTGACTCTGAGTGCTCGACTGGATCAACGAGGCATTGAATGTTGATCCTGGTTACTGTATCTACATTATAAAATGATGCAGGCCAAATGACGACATTACGTTGAATGTACAAGCATGCGAGGAGAAAACTAAACATGACAAAATCTTGAACTGAATTATGAAAGAAACACTTACCTCACCTTTACTCAACTCAATGCAGAAATAAACAACAGTAAAGATGCAGTTTATATAAAACATTTAAACAGTATGTAACAACTCAATATACATATATAATAAAGTAATATAATTTTGTGGGAGTTTCTTTAACCAACAACCATCACTATGAGTTATGTGATGATACAACGTCTCGCCCATGCTGCCAGAACTGTCCTATAACTTGTCAGGATATAGAACGTCTCAACTAAGTGGATCCACTAGTCTATGCTAAAAAACATTAAGGAATCATCTAAAAAGTATGACCCTTTCTACCCACGTTTGCTACATGGTTTATGGAAACTGTTATTATGAACTAGTTCCCATATCGGTGCTCAATACTACTCGAAAAATATACTCAACTCATATGTTTAAAAATATAACTTTCTCTATGATTTGAGGTTATTACTCAAAAAGCTTATCTCTTAAAAAAGATGGGACACAAAATACTCATGAAAACTCATTTGGAAATCGGTGTTTCCTCTCATCTTAAATGTGAAAACGTTTACTCTTTGGGAATACATAGTCCTTATATAACATTTAAAGAAATGAACTCGACTTTACTCTTTCTCAATCTCAATGCTTAAGTCTTAAAACAAGTTTAAAAGATTTGCAAAAGACTTCATAAAATGACTCGAATAACTCTCAAGAATTGACTTTTAACTGTACCTTCAATTTGAATTATTAATTCAAGGTTGTGATTCGTGATAGAAAAGATCTTGTGATGTTTAGGAGTGTTTTTAGATAGTTAAACATGAGAAACGATTAAGAAATTACTGTCTGGGAACAAGTTTGCAACACAGAGATGTATTTAAATATTTGATCGCAAAATTAATTTTGAAAAAGAGGAGTCTGCGTCCTATCTGTGACGCGTAGGTGATTTTTCTGCACTGGGGGAGCAAGTCCGCAATGCAGACTTGCGTGCCGAGATCTGCTCGACTTTTTCCTTCTTCGTTTTCTCACCCCAATTCGCCTAAATTCAATTTTTTTTCTCAATTCCTCTTTAGATTCAGATACTCATTATATGTACACAAGATTCTAACCCAAAACAACTCTTAAAATCGATAAAACTCTCTCTAGAAACTCATCGACCCCATTTAAATTCAAGAATGAAAGCAATTCAAGAACACAACTCAAGAACATCAAATCCTCAATCTTTTAGGACGAAAATTACACTGAAATAAACATGTTTGGCGTGTGGGTGAACGAACCCAACGCTATGTGAACTCACATACTTTGTAGAATTGAATCCTTGGCGAAATTCACAACCAAAATCGCAAGAACTTGACGAATCTTGAACTTTTCTTCTCCTTTCTCCTTTTGAGTTCTTTCTCCAAAAACCCTAGCATGATTTGGTAAATGCGTAATTTGAACTAACTCAGTTTAGACCCCAATTAAACTTCTAAAAATGAAATTAATTATTGGGTATGGAAAAGACCATCTTACCCTCCTAAAATTCGGTTTAGACTTTCCTTATCTAGACAATCCAACTTCAAATGGGCATATATCTACCTCATACAAACTCGAAATCGAGCAAACTTAGTGGCATTGGAAAGATAATTCAATCATCTTCCCTAGGCTATCTTGTAGCCCACCTAACTCATCCTGTGCTGGGAGTTATGGTCGTTTAAAGTTGACCCAAAACTTATACTTAGCTTAACTTTGCCAAACTTTCCAAATTTGATTATTTCCAAAAACGTTTTCTTCTAATTCTAATTCTTTCAACTAGCGGGGTGTTACAGGGTGCTCCAAGACGCCTGATCCATGGGATAATATACACGAAAAATTGGGAAAGTCATGTAATTCCTATAGTTAGCTGATAATGCGAAAAGGCCTTAAAAATTGTGGGATTATATGTAATGCTTCTCCAACTTATTACGGAGATCCTCATAGTGACGATATTCTAGGCTTTTGTAGTGAATCCTAGTTGACAGCGCTTAAGTGGAAGGATTAGTCTCAGGTGGCATGCCACATCATTAAAAATTTGTGGTGTTAACTCTTGAGGGTATTTGTGGTCTCTTAGGATCAGAGGCAAATTTAAGATTTCAAGAAGACGGGTGCACCATTGTCAGGGACGGCTTTGCCCCTTTATGAAAGGCAACTACTTTAGGCTTCCAAATTTGAAGGATCTCAATTATTTTAGAAATAATAAATATATATTTTTCATAAGAAAAATATTGAATACGATTTGCAAGAAAAAATATATTAAGAGAAAAAATTATTAGAAGAAATTTGATATACCTAGAGTACTATGTCGCAAGAAAGATTAAATGCATTGGTTATATGAATTATTGATTAAAAAATAATTATTAAAAGAATCCGATTGTAAAAAAAATATACAATTTTGTATCTCAAGAAATTTAAAAAGTAGACTTTATAAAAAGAAGGGAAAAGGGTAAAAAATGCTCTTAAACTATGTGAAAGGAACAAAAATGCCATTCGTTTGTAGTTTGGTCCAAAAATGTCCTTATTGTTATTTAATGAGTCAAAAATGCTCATTCTCCAAATAAATATATTATTTATTTTCTTTTAACACATTCGTTTTTCTAATAATATTTTTTAAAATTAGGAAATGTTTATCTTCATTCAGAAAAAAAAATAAAAAATAAAAAATTTCTTATTTTTTTATAATTATTTTTTATCATTATATAAATATAAATTAATGATGAATATATTATGATATTTTATATATGACATATATTATATGTCGAAATGGTACATGAAATTATTCTATTTTAATTAATAAAATGAGATTAAGAAGAAAAAAAATATTTCCTACATTTTTATTTGTTAAAGTGATTTTAAAAGAAAGAAAATAAGAACATGATTCTTTAATAATATTTTAGTTAGGAAGAAGATGTGTTTAAAAAGGAAAAAGGAAATAAGAACATGGTTCTTTAATAATATTTTAATTAGGAAGAAGATGTGTTTAAAAAGGAAAAAAAAATACTTTTTGACCTATTTAATAACTATAGGGGCATTTCTGGACCAAAGTATTGACTGCAAGGGCATTTTTGGACCAAAGTATTGACGGTAAGGGATTTTTTTAGCCAAACTATAAACGGAAGGCATTTTTTGTTCCTTTCACATAGTTTAAGGGCATTTTTTTTATCCTTTTCCCTAAAAAGAATATTATTTTTTCTTAAAAGTTTAAGGCCTCGGTTTGATTTTGTCTTAGACCACTTGTGCGTTTGAGCCGCTGCTGATCATTGCACGTAAGATAAGATCTAAAATATTATAATTGATTTTGTTAGTTTGCTTACTAAGAATGGTGATTTCAGTTGAAAGAACGAAAAAGAAGGAAGAAATGAGTTTTTCACTTGGGAAGTTCGAACGCTACTTTGTGTTTTTTGTGAAATAAAATGCTTGCAATGGAATTGCTGTTTGAGAGAAGAGATATCCATTGGGACGAAGCTGATAGAATGGCACCTACTTTCTTAAGGATCCTCGCTAATTCAACTAGTTTTCTTTTCTGGGAATGAACTAGCCAGAGGAAATGGGCGTCAAGCCTATAAGTCAAGTACACAAGAAGAGTTTATAGGCGAAGACACTCTCAGTTGAAGGTAGGGCAGTCTTCCTAGCTTTAGGGTCAATCGAATAGATAGAAGATCTAGCGCCTCGGTCAGAGAGAATGGGGCACGAGTTCGTGACCTAATAGAATAGTGTTTTGTGATCCCGGGGAAAGCTATCATACTTAACT